AGAGTTGGAAGAGACCTGGTGGGCCATCCAGTCCAACCCCATTCTTCCATGAAGAGGACAATCACATTCAAAGCACCCCCAGTGAGCAGTTAGATAGGAGATTTATATTACATCAACACAGACCTTCTCAAGAGAGTTTATGAATGTCAAAACGCCTAGAATCATAGAATCCTAGAACCCTAGAGTTGGAAGAGACCACATGGGCCATCCAGTCAAATTCCATTCTGCCAAGAAGCAGGAAAATTCCATTCAAAGCACCCCCAGTGAGCAGTTAGATAGGAGATTTACATTACGTCAACGCAGACCTTCTCAAGAGAGTTTATGAAAGTCAAGATGCCTAGAATCCCAGAACCCTAGAGTTGGAAGAGACCTGGTGGGCCATCCAGTCCAACCCCATTCTTCCATGAAGAGGACAATCACATTCAAAGCACCCCCAGTGAGCAGTTAGATAGGAGATTTATATTACGTCAACACAGACCTTCTCAAGAGAGTTTATGAATGTCAAAACGCCTAGAATCATAGAATCCTAGAACCCTAGAGTTGGAAGAGACCACATGGGCCATCCAGTCCACTTCCATTCTGCCAAGAAGCAGGAAAATTCCATTCAAAGCACCCCCAGTGAGCAGTTAGATCGGAGATTTACATTACGTCAACACAGACCTTCTCAAGAGAGCTTATGAAGGTCAAGACACCTAGAACCCTAGAGTTGGAAGAGACCTCATGGGCCATCCAGTCCACTTCCATTCTGCCAAGAAGCAGGACAATCACATTCAAAGCACCCCCAGTGAGCAGTGAGATAGGAGATTTACATTACGTCAACGCAGACCTTCTCAAGAGAGTTTATGAAAGTCAAGATGCCTAGAATCCCAGAACCCTAGAGTTGGAAGAGACCTGGTGGGCCATCCAGTCCAACCCCATTCTTCCATGAAGAGGACAATCACATTCAAAGCACCCCCAGTGAGCAGTTAGATAGGAGATTTATATTACGTCAACACAGACCTTCTCAAGAGAGTTTATGAATGTCAAAACGCCTAGAATCATAGAATCCTAGAACCCTAGAGTTGGAAGAGACCACATGGGCCATCCAGTCCACTTCCATTCTGCCAAGAAGCAGGAAAATTCCATTCAAAGCACCCCCAGTGAGCAGTTAGATCGGAGATTTACATTACGTCAACACAGACCTTCTCAAGAGAGCTTATGAAGGTCAAGACACCTAGAACCCTAGAGTTGGAAGAGACCTCATGGGCCATCCAGTCCACTTCCATTCTGCCAAGAAGCAGGACAATCACATTCAAAGCACCCCCAGTGAGCAGTGAGATAGGAGATTTACATTACGTCAACACAGACCTTCTCAAGAGAGTTTATGAAGGTCAAGACGTCTAGAATCCTAGAACCCTAGAGTTGGAAGAGAGCTCATGGGCCATCCAGTCCAACCCCATTCTGCCAAGGAGCAGGACAATCGCATTCAAAGCACCCCAATGAGCAGTTAGACAGGAGATTTACAGTTGTGTGTACAGTTGGACCATTTGAAGCTTCCAAACAGTCTTCAAAGGCTGCCCCACGTAGAGTGCATTGCAGTAGTCTATACAGGATGTAACCATGGCCTGGACCACCGTGGCCAAGTCAGACTTCCCAAGGTATGGCGCAGCTGGCGCACAAGTTTTAATTGTGCATCATCTGTGAAATGATGCATCAACACGTGCAAACAATTGTGTGAAGCAGGTGCAAGGAGGAAAGCGAAGACGAAGAGAGAGTGAACCTGCAGCCTTCACCACCAGGGGGCAGGCGGGTTGAACTCAAGCCCAGCCAGCCTTGAGAGATGGGTCAGGAGGAAACCCACCTGGCGGGTTTGCACTCAATGGACACTCCCTGGTGAGCGCTGGACACGCTTCGGGAGGGATCGTGTGGCTCAAGGTGGAGCCCGTGGATTTCCTGAAGTTGTGATTAAAGTCTAGTTGGTGCACTGAGCGCATTGTGCAATAGCGGTGAGTCAATCTAAGAGCAAACCTACAGAACCCCTCTTGTTGGTAACTTGGGGACTGCCTGTATGTACACACACACACACACACCCACACACTCACACCCACACACTCACACACACACACTCACACCCACCACACACACTCACACCCACACCCACACACTCACACCCACCCACACACACACCCACACCCACACACTCACACACACCCACATACTCTCTCTCACACACACACTCTCTCTCTCATCACACACACACCCACACCCACACACTCACACACACCCACACACTCACACACACACACTCTCTCTCTCTCACACTCACACACATTCACACCCACACACTCAAACCCACCCACACACACCCACACCCACACACTCACACACACACACACTCACACCCACACACTCACACACACTCACACCCACACACTCACACACACCCACACACTCACACACACCCACACACTCACACACACACACTCACACACACCACCACACACACCCACACACTCACACACACACACCTCACACACCCACCACACACACTCACACCCACACCCACACACTCACACCCACACACCCACACACACACTCACACACCACTGCCTGTATGTACACACACACACACACACCCACACACTCACACCCACACACTCACACACACACACTCACACCCACACATTCACACCCACCCACACACTCACACCCATCCACACACTCACACCCACCCACACACACACATACACTCACACCCACACACACTCTCTCTCTCACACACACACACATTCAAACTCACACACTCACTCACACACCCACACACTCACACACCCACCCACCCCCACACACACACACATGACTGGAACTAAAGAAATGTCCCTGTTCCAAGCTACATATAAACCAAACCTAAGAAAAAACATACAGAACCTCTCTTGGGTTGTTGAAGGCTTTTTCGAGCTATATGGCCATGTTCTAGTGGCATTCTCTCCTGACATTTCGCCTGCATCTATGGCAAGCATCCTCAGAGGGAGTGAGGTCTGTTGGAAGTAGGAAAATTGGGTTTATATATCTGTGGAACGACCAGGGTGGGACAAAGAACTCTTGTCTGTTGGAGCTGGGTGGGAATGTTTCAACTGACCACCTTCATTAGCATTTGATGGCAAAACAACAGCGAGGAAACAATCAGGGACAGCGAATCACCTCTCAACAAAGGATTGCCCCAGGCACTAACAAGCCACACCAAACAACTGCCAGGCCATCCCATGACCAACAGGAAATACTTAAGGCCATCCAGTCCATCTCCCTTCACCAGGGCAAGAAAACGTAATCAAAGCTCTCCTGAAAAAGAGCCATCCAGCCATAGATAAGATAGATAGATACAGGGTGGGCAAACCAGACGCTCTCCACATCCACACTGGCGAAGAAACAGCAAGAAATACTGTTTACACACAAGCAGAAAGAAATCACATAGATTAGAAACCAACACTTTCTCATTACTTTATTTTCCAGATCAACAGACTGGGCCACAGCAACGCCTGGCAGGGGACGGCTAGTAATACAATACAATACAATACAATACAATACAATACAATAATCTATATAAATAAAAATGTAACGTTCGTTTGTGGGATTATCAGAACTCAAAAACCACTGGACAAATTGACACCAAATTTGGACACAAGAAACCTAACAACCCAATTTATGTCCTTCACTCAAAAAAAATTGATTTTGTCATTTGGGAGCTGTAGTTGCTGGGTTTTGTAGTTCACCTACAATCACAGAGCATTCTGAACCCCACCAACGATGGAATTTAACCAAACTTGGCACACAGAACTCCCATGACCAAAAGAAAATAGTGGAAGGGTTTGGTGGGCAGTGTCCTTTGGTTTTGGAGTTGTAGTTCACCTACATCCAGAGATCACTGTGGACTCAAACAATGATGGATCTGGACCAAACTCTACACGAATACTCAATATGCCCAAATGTGAACACTGGTAGAGTTTGGGGAAAATAGAATCTTGACATTTGGGAGTTGTAGTTGCTGGGATTTATAGTTCACCTACAATCAAAGAGCATTCTGAACTCCACCAACGATGGAATTGAACCAAACTTGGCACACAGAGCTTCCATGACCAACAGAAAATACTGGAAGGGTTTGGTGGGCATTGACCTTGAGTTTGGGAGTTGTAGTTCACCTACAATCAGAGAGCACTGTGGACTCAAACAATGATGGATCTGGACAAAAATCATGATTTTGTCATTTGAGAGTTGTCGTTGCTGGGATTTATAGTTCACCTACAATCAAAGAGCATTCTGGACTCCACCAATGATGGAATTGAACCAAACTTGGCACACAGTTCTCCCATGACCAACAGAAAATACTGGAAGGGTTTGGTGGGCAGTGTCCTTTGGTTTTGGAGTTGTAGTTCACCTACATCCAGAGATCATTGTGGACTCAAACAATGATGGATCCGGACCAAACTCTACATGAATACTCAATATGCTCAAATGTGAACACTGGAGGAGTTTGGAGAAAATAGAATCTTGAGATCTGTGAGTTGTAGTTGCTGGGATTTGTAGTTCACCTACAATCAAAGAGCATTCTGAACCCCACCAAGGATAGAATTGGGCCAGACCTCCCACACAGAACCCCCATTTGGGCCACAGCAACGCGTGGCAGGGGACGGCTAGTATAACATGAATGCACAAAGTCTATGTGTGTTTCCCCCTCCTTCTCTTCTCTCTCTCTCTCTCCCTGAAGAGGAGGAGGAGCAGCAGCAGCAGCCAATCAGGTGCCTCACCGCTTCCTCCTCCTCCCCCTCCCCCTCCCTCCCTGCTTTCATTCTCTGGTTGAGAAAAGTGCTTTGGGGATTGAGAGAAAGGGAGAGGCGTCACGTGGTCTGCCCTCCCCCCCTCCCCTCCCCCCTCCCCTCCCCTCCCTCTCTGAAAGAAATCCTTATTAAAGGAAGGAAGAGACAGCCAAGCGGAGAGAGCGCAGAGAGAAGAGCCGGAGAGGAGAGCAGAGCAGAGCGGAAACTTTGCGTAGCCCTTCCTTCTCCATGCTTTGACCACCCCAAAGGCCACTCCGGAGACCATGCTGTGGCTGCTCTGGCCCGGCCTGGCCCTGCTCTCATCCTCCGCCGCCCAGGAGAAGACCCCGGGGCCTGCCTCGCGCTTCCTCTGCACCGCCTTCCCTTTGGATGCCGCGGGCACCCCCGGCAACTGCCCCTGGCCCCCTCTGCCCATGCCGGGCGCCCCCGAGGAGCAGCTCCAGGCCACCCTGCTCCAGCTGCGAGAGACCCTCCTCCAGCAGAAGGAGACCATCGGGCAGCAGCGCCAGGCCATCCGGGAGCTGACCGCCAAGCTGGGCGGCTGCGAGGGCAAGGGCTGGCGGAAGGGCAAGGACGGCGAGGAGGACGCCGCCATGGGGGACCTGCCCCGAGACCCCGCCAAGGTGGTCGACCAGCTCAGCCGCACCATGCAGGCGCTCAAGGACCGCATGGAGAGCCTCGAGGTGAGCCCCCAGTTGGTCCCGGGGCATGGCGGGCAAAGGCTGCAGGCTGGGAGACCTCCAGGGTGCTGCAATGGGTGATTGGGGGTATTCAGCACCATGGAGAACTCCCCCAGGCACCCATTCCTTCTGGCACCATGGAGAGCTCCCAAAAGCACCTATTCCACCTCCCTTTCGACTTCAATGGGTGCTTTGAGGGTGGTGGTGGTGGTGGTATTCAGCACCATGGAGGGTTCCCCCAGGCACCCATTCCTTTTGGCACCATGGAGAGCTCCCCAAAGGCACCCATTCACCCATTGACCGCTCTGAGTCTCCTGCGGGCTGATATGGGCGGGATATAGATAGTGTAAATAAATAAAATAAATAAATATTCAGCACCATGGAGAACTCCCCAGGCACCCATTCCTTTCAGCACCATGGGTAGCTCCAAAGGCACCTATTCCGCCTCCCTTTAGACTTCAATGGGTACTTCGAGGGTGGTGGTGGTGGTATTTAGTGCCATGGAGAACTCCCCAGGCACCCATTCCTTTCGGCATCACAGGCAACTCCCAAAAGCACCCATTCACCCTACTTTTCAGCACCAGGGACAGTTCTCTGTGCTGGAGAAAACCCCAAAGCTGCCCCTCGTGCTGCAACGGGTGCCTCAGAATGTATTCAGCACCATGGAGAACTCCCCGGGCACACATTCAGCCTCCCTTTCAACTACAAAGACACCCATTCAGTTCACCACCATGGAGAGCTTCCAATGGCACGGGAGAAAACTAAAGAGGTGCCCCTAGTGCTGCAATGGGTGTTTCAGGGTCGTGGTGGTGGTTTTATTCAGCACCATGGAGAACTCCCCAGGCACTCATTCCTTTTGGCACCATGGAGAGCTCCCAAAGGCACCCATTCACATCCCCTTTCAACTCCAATGCCACCCATTCAGCCTGCTTTTCAGAACCAGGGGCAGTTCCCTGTGGTGGAGAAAATCCCAGCGCTGCCCCTGGTACTGCAACGGGTGCTTCAGGAGGTATTCAGCACTATGGAGAACTCCTGGGCACCCATTCCTTTCAGCACCATGGGCAACTCCCAAAAACACCCAATTCATCCTACCTTTCAGCACCAGAGACATCTATTCCTTTCAGCACCACAGGCAACTCCAAAGGCACCCATTCACTTTGCCTTTCAGCATCACAAGCAGTTACCTATGCTGGGGGGAAATCCCAGAGTTGTTCCTGGTGCTGCAACAGGCACTTTGGGGGTATTTGGCACCATGGAGAACTCCCCAGGCACCCATTTCTTTCGGCACCACAGGCAACTCCCAAAGGCACCCGTTCACTCTACTTTCAGCGCCAGGGACAGTTCTCTGTGCTGGAGAAAATGCCAGAGCGGTCCCTGGTGCTGCAACGGGTGCTTTGGGGGGACAGTGTGGTTGTGGTGGTATTCAGCACCATGGAGAACTCCCCAGGCACCCATTCCTTTTGGCACAATGGGCAGCTCCAAAGGCACCTATTCCGCCTCCCTTTAGACTTCAAAGGCACCCATTCGGTTCAGCACCATGGAGAGCTTCCAATGGCACCCATTCACCCTGCCTTTCAGCTCCAGGGGCAGTTCCTGTGCTGGAGAAAACCCCAAAGCTGCCCCTGGTGCTGCAACGGGTGCTTTCGGGGCGGAAGGGATATTATTCAGCACCCATTCCTTTAGGCAGCATGGGCAGCTCCAAAGGCACCCATTCACCCTGCCTTTCAGCACCAGGGGCAGTTCCCTGTGCTGGAGAAAATCCTAGAGCTGTCCCTGGTGCTGCAACACATGTCTCAGAAGGTATTTAGCACCATGGAGAACTCCCCCGGGCACCATTCCTTTCAGGACCATGGGTAGCTCCAAAGGCACCCATTCCTCTTCCCTTTCAAGTTGGTTCAGCACCATGGAGAGCTTCCAATGACACCCATTCATCCTCCTTTTCAACCTCAAGGCACTCACTCCTTTCAACACCACAGGCAGATCGAAAGGCACCACAAGCAGTTTCCTATGCTGGGGGAATTCCTAGAGCTGTTCCTGGTGCTGCAACTGGCACTTCGGGGGTGTTCAGCACCATGGAGAACTCCCCAGGCACCCATTCCATTCAGAACCATTGGAAGTTCCAAAGGCATCCATTCAGCCTCCCTTTCAACTCCAAAGGCACCCATTCCTTTTGGGTCCATGGGCAACTCCCAAAGACACCCATTCAACCTGCCTTTCAGCACCAGGGGCAGTGCCCGGCATATTCAGCACCATGGAGAACTCCCAAGGCACCCATTCCTTTCAGCACCATGGGTAGCTCCAAAGGCACCCATTCAGCCTCACTTTTGGAGCCCCCGGTGGCACAGTGGGTTAAATCCTTATGCTGGCAGGACTGAAGACCCATAGGTTGCAGGTTCAAATCCGGAGCGAGCGCAGATGAGCTCTCTCTATAAGCTCCAGCTCCTCATGCGGGGACATAAGAGAAGCCTCCCACAAGGATGATAAAACATCAAAACATCTGGGCCTCCCCTGGGCAACGTCCTTGCAGACGGCCAATTCTCTCACACCAGAAGCAACTTGCAGTTTTTTGAGTCGCTCCTGACACAACAAAAAAAAAAAGCGCCTCCCTTTCAACTCCAAAGGCACCCATTCCTTTTGGCACCATGGAAAGCTCCCGAAGGCACCTGTTCATCCTCTCTTTCGGGTCCAAAGGCACTGGAGAAGTCAGGTGTTGCCCAAGATGTTGAAAGGGAGAAGGAATAGTTGTTTCGGAAGGTATTTAGCACCACGGAGAGCTCCTGTCTGTAGGCAAAACGCTCAGTGCTGACCGTGGTGCTGAAACGTCTCTATTGCTGAGTGTGGAATATGATGCACGCTGCTAGACCATGTTGGGGACAGGTTTTGTCGATAGTGTCTCCTTTCGCCTCCCGGTTCTTCCATTGTTCGGGCAATACTGGAGGTTGAACCAACCCCATTCTACTATGTAATATATAATATACTAGCAGTCCCTGCCAGGCGTTGCTGTGGCCCAGTCTGGTGATCTGGAAAATCAAGTAATGAGAAAGTGTTGGTTTCTAATATATGTAATTGCTTTATGCTTTTGGGTAAAGAGTATTTCTTGCTGTTTCTTTGCCAGAGATTGTCTGGTTTGCCCACCCTGGAACATGCAACATCTCATTGTCTTTCTTTAGGGGTCCCTTCAAATCTTTGATACGGCATCTGTCATATACATATATAATATGTGTGTGTGAATGGCTGGATGGCCCTTTGTCAGGAGGGCTTTGATTATGTTTTCTTGCCCTGGNCAAAAAAACACCCCAATTACAAATCGATTTTAGAAACAAATTTTTTCTTGATCAAACAGGCCTAGTGGATAGTACCAAGGGCAAACTATGTTTTTTACCTAATGGTTGGTGCTCTTTTTTTTTTAAATTTATTTTTATTTAGAATATGTTGCTCCTGAAGATAGGAGGTAAAAGAAAAGTGAAGGGGGAATTGTGATTTCCCTTTAGTACATGGAAAGAGTGGGAACAATAACATATAGTAAAGTGGGTGAACAAGTGCAGTAACCTAATAGAGAAAAGAAGCAATAAACAAAAACAGACGAACAAAACAAAACAAAAAGAGGAAGGGTTTGTGCGGGACTTCCAGGATCTTCCAGGTTGGTATGTATCTTCCCTTGAGTCAGTTTTTCTTCTAAATACTGAGTCGACGGCTTCTTGGCGATTATCCTTCAAGATTTGGTTAAAACATTTTAATATAGCGGTGGCCGGGAGAGCTTTTGCACAATTAAAACTTGTGTGCCAGCTGTGCCGGTACCTTGGGAAGTCGGATCTGGCCATGGTGGTCCACGCTCTTGTTACATCCTGAATAGATTACTGCAACACACTCTACATGGGGTTGCCTTTGAAGACTGTTTGGAAACTTCAATTGGTCCAACGGGTGGCGGCTAGATTACTCACCGGAGCGTCATACAGGGAGCATGCCACCCCTCTGTTGTGTCAGCTCCACTGGCTGCCGATCCAGTTCCAAGCACAATTCAAAGTGCTGGTTCTGACCTACAAAACCCTTTACGGCTCCGGCCCAGCATACCTGTCCAATAGGCCTGTGCGGTTTCGTTCGTTATTTCGTTATTAATTCGTTAATTTTACCATTTCCAAAGCGATATTGAAACATATTCCCAAACCCGGAAGGGTTTTTAAATATCGAACCAGCAGCCCCCAGAGTTTTAACGAGCCTCCGCTCGTTTCGTTAATGGGGTGGAGGCTGCTGGAGTGCTGGTGCATGGGAGCCAATCCGGCGCTCCCAAACAGTGCACCACCATGGGTCCGTGGCTGCCTGTTTTTGATTGGCCGGCGAGCCCTTTCAAAGCGGCTCCGCGCGGCCCGTAGCTTCAAGAGGGCGAGGGAGTTTGCATTGGGTTGGCTTGGCAATGGCTGCTAGCAACTCGGATTGGATTCATTCCTTGCTGCTGTGAGTGCTGCTTGCTTCATTTGCTGTCTCTTGCCTGTGTTTGGTCCACATTTGGGCCATTTTTTGATTAATTTTCCATTTTAAAATATTTTTAATGTTATTTTTTAATATTATTTTTAAATATTATTTTTTAATATTATTTTTTACTATTATTTTTAAAAAATATTCTAAAAAAGAAAAGACTCTTCTGT